AGTTTCACCGACTCATCAGGAGGCTGAACCCTCAACAGTCTGCAGAATCCCCTCACTGATTACACTGTAAATGATAATCTACCTTTACCAAAATCGAAGTAGACTATCACTCACCCACACCAGATGGAAAACTCTACAGACTGTCAGTTCACACCCATATATATATATATATCGTATACATGAATATCAGAACGCAAAGGCGAACAAAACAGAAGATTATATTTATATCAAATTTAGTGGAGAATTTTGATGTGATCCAGAGGCGAAAGTTGTTCAGTTCATTTTTCTGCATAACATCTTTTTTCCAGAATTTTTTTTGATTTCCTTTTTTTTGCTGGGACCTTCTTTGGTCCTTGCACGGCCGGGCCGCCCGGGCAAACAAGCTGACCCGGGTGGCCCGGCTGGTAGTCTAGGAAAAAAAGCAAAAAACAAAAAAAGACAACCTGCCCCGCGTCATCATTACATTAAATTGAGGGTAACTCCCCCTCAATTATTTTATCATATCATGGGAGGGGAACCAAAAAAACAGAGAGAGGAAGGAGAACCTACCGACCATCACAACATCATCGATCGACCACGCGGGCGCAATATACACTCCCAACCACGAAAAAATTGCCAGATTCTATTTCTTTCTTTGTTTTTTTCCAAACAAAAAAAAAAAACTTTGCCAGATTCTATTTTTTCCGTGTTTTTTTTCAAACAAAAAAATAAACTTTGCCAGATTCTTTTGTTTTTTTGTTTCTTTTCAAACAAACAAAAAAAAAACTTACGATACAACCTCTCGGGGGAGATTTACCCCTTTAAGCATCAATTAACTACTTCGCCGTTCCCAGCCGCAATTTCGGCATTTTTTTAATCCGAAATTTCCGAAATTGATTGTCAGTAAGTAATAACCCCCTTCAGTCACGTACAATCAATTCTTTCGAAAATAAAAAATTCATCAATTGCATTAGTCGAGCAACTTTCGAAAATGTGAAAATAAAAGTAATAAAAACATTAACTTCGCCGTTCCCGGTCGCAATTTCGGCATTTTTTTAATCCGAAACTGATTGTCATTTCGGCGTTTTTTTTAATCCGAAATTTCCGAAATTGATTGTCAGCAAGGAACCCCCTTCAGTCACGTACAATTAATTTTTTCGAAAATAAAAACTAGGACCAAGATCGAACGACGGTCCAATTGGCGGGACAGAAGTTGGAAACCCCCTTCAGTCGCGTACAACTAATTCTTTCGAAAATAAGAGCTTCATCAATTGCATTAGTCGAACAACTTTCGAAAATATGAAAATAAAACTAATATAATAAAAAGAATTACTTTCTACGTAAAGTCAATTTTCTAAATTAAAAACATTATTAAAAAAAACTTTCTCCAAGTGTCTGTTTGACGATATATCTATATATATTGTCACAAGAATATCAGAGCGCAAATGCGAAAGAAAGAAAAAAGAAAGAAAAACAAGAAAAAATGAATTCATTTTTTTTTCTTCTTCCTTATAACTCCCCCTGCTCAGAACCTCTTGCGTACGAGGCCGCCCACGTGGACGTGAAATATATTGTCACATGGGAGAAGAAGAATAACAAACGGATGGCTATTACATAATATAAATACATATAGATTTATCACTAAATCATTTACAATAATACAGTATATAAACATGAAGAAAAGAAAGGGAGGAAGGGAGGATAGAGAGACCTACCGAGATTGGAGAGAAGCATGGTACGACCCTGCAGCAGACGGAACTGGTCTCGAGAGAACGACTTTAACCATGCCTTCAGTTTTGACTCCACCGCCTTCGCTAGAAGAGACTCCATGATTCCTGCTCTCCTCCTCCTCCTCCTCCTCCCCCTCCTCCTCCTCCTCCTCCTTCTCCTCCTCCTCCTCTTCCTACGTACTCACTCTGTAGAGACTTTGTCGCCCCGTTTCCAGCCTGTGCCGTATCTAGGTCGCTACTCTACTCCCCCTCCCTCAGAGGAACTCCCCTCGTCTTCCTCTTCTCTTACTCCTCTCAGTTCTCCTCCCTCCTCTTAATCGTCTTCCTGTTCTCATCTCCTCCTCCTTCTCCTCCACCTCCTCTACTCCCCCTCCCTCAGAGCTCCCCTCGTCTTCCTCCTCTCAGTTGTCTTCCTCCCTCCTCTCAGTCGTCTTCGTCTTCTCCTTCCCTCCTCCTTATCCTCGCTCCTCCTCGACCGTCTTCTGCCTTTCTCCTCCTCCTCCTAAGCGTACTTCTCTTCTCCTACTATCATTCCTTTTCTCTTCTTCTCCACGTCTTCTCCCTCCTCCTCTCAATCCCCTTCCCCTCTTCTCCCTTCGTCTCTATTATCCTCCTCTCCTCATCTCCTCCCTTCCCCTCTTCTCCCTTTGTCTCTATTATCTTCCTCTCCTCATCTACTCCTGCTCTTCTCCCTCCTCTCCCAATTGCTCTTGTCTTCCTACTCCTGTCAATCCTCTTCTTCACTTCCTTCTGTTGCCCTCGTCGATCATCGTCCTTCCCTCCTCCTCCTCTCCATCTTCTTGACCTTTTCCTCCTCGCAAATCCTCTCTCCTCTCCTTCTCTCTCTCTCTCTCTCTCTCTCTCTCTCTCTCTCTCTCTCTCTCTCTCTCTCTCTCTCTCAGCCCTTGCTCACCCTTGTTCTCCTCTTCCTCGTGTGCGCCGCAATGTACTGACGACCGCAATGTACTGACGATCTTGTGAAGCGCCTCTCTCTCTCTCTCTCTCTCTCTCTCTCTCTCTCTCTCTCTCTCTCTCTCTCTCTCTCTCTCAGCCCTTGTTCACCCTTGTTCTCCTCGTCCTCGTGTGCGCCACAATGTACTGACGATCTTGTGAAGCATGTGTAGGTAGGGCAGTGGGCGGCTGTTCTCAGCTATACACAATTTTTTATTTTTTATTTTTTTTTCTTTACTGTTCCGGATTGTCTTCAGACTTCGTGTCCCGACTTCGCAACGCCTTTTCCACCGGATTCGAGCAGCTGTCGTCGGTATCCCGACCGAGCGAAGAGTGGACTTTTTGGTTGTTGGACCAAGTGTTGTCAGCCGATTTCTCAGAGGAAAAATTCGCATTTCGGGCATAAAATTCGTTCGCCGACCCGACCCTGACGTAACCCGCGATCGCGACGACTCCTGTCAATCATCTTTCTATCCTCCCTCCCTCCCTCCCTACCTACCTACCTACCTACCTACCCTCCTATCAATCCTCCTCCTCTCCTCCCTCCTCTTCTTCTTCTCGGCGTCTTCCTGCCTCCCGTCTATCCCTCCTCTTCCTCTTCAATCATCCAATCATTGAATCGCTTGCCTCGACAAGTCAAATGCCAGGTGTCCAACCAAAGGAGGTCAACCCCGCCGCGAGCCCGACATAATCCGCTGCCGCCACTCCACAGCCGCCTATCTCGCCCGTCGCCGGGATCCGGACTCAAGCCCAGATACGCTCATCTCACCGTACAAACTCACCAAGTGAACGACTTGTCCTATCAGTCATCGTACTTGGTCACGAAGTAAATGATTCTGGTCGCAATTGCGGTCAGATACCTCCCCAGAGCTCGATAGCACGTTATCCGTACGCGCCGGCGCACAGATCACCCGTCCGTATCCCGTTGCAATCAGATGTGAAACAACGACGACCTGCTTTGCGATAACGTCGCTGACAATAGAAGAACCAAGATAGGAGAGAGGAGTGTAGAGGAGGGGGAGGAGTGTGGAGGAGGGGGAGGAGTGTGGAGGAGGGGGAGGAGTGTGGTGGAGGGGGAGAACACGGAGAAACAAACGAGATGGACAAGACGACGAAAAAGACGATGGAAGGAGAATAGGGTGCAAACGAGAGGGAGGGAAGGGATTGCACCAAGATCCCGACAAGCGACAGAATCTGTACAGAAGAGAGAGAACAAAGGAGAAATAGTCTCGTCTATATAAGTTGCGGCCCCATCATTATCATCCTAGGTCATGGTATACAGGAGCAAAGGCGCTCCCACTTATCGCCACATGTCAGCCACGTGTCAGCCACGTCTCAGCCACGTGTCAGCCGTCTGTCAGCCACGTGTCGCCCACATCAGCCACCCGCGTTGATTGAACAACATCGTACATCAATAACTGAATGAGCAGCAAGTCATTCACCAAACGGAGCGGGATACAATCTCTCTCTCTCTCTCTCTCTCTCTCTCTCTCTCTCTCTCTCTCTCTCTCTCTCTCTCTCTCTCTCTCTCTCTCTCTC